GGCTGCTTGCACGAGCCTGCTGCCTGCTGGGAGGAGAGCAGGGCGGCCGGAGCTGCCGCCGCACTGGGCTGTTGTGTGGCTGGGAGAGGAGATGAGCAGGAGATGCTCAGGCTACAGGATAATACGGCTCTGATACCACCTGTTAGTCGCTGAATTCTCACTCTTGGTAGTAGGAGAATTCTTACTCTCATCGAGAGAGGATGACACTAGGAGTTGGGGCAATTTTCTTGTCTATTTCTTACTCAAATGCCATGCCAACCTGAGGGGTTGGGGTTACATATTTGTAGGCTGCTAGCCAGCCAAGCATATGCCAAGATGCTAGTCTAAGATGCTAATATGCTGTCCTAGCTAAGATGCTGTCCTCTAGTCTAAGATGTTGTCCTCTAAGATGCTGTCCTCTAGTCTAAGATGCTGTCCTAAAAGTAGAAAACAGCCACAAGGACCATGTGAGCAGTACAGCCCCACAAAGACCACATATGAGACTTATCCATCAGACTTGCGTTTCCTTTTATTTTAATTCCAAATTATAAGTTTAGTTCCATATATCCCAGCTAAATTCTCAGATTCCAGTATGACCCTGTCTTGCAGACTCGGGTTTCCTTCTATTTTAATTCCAAATTCATCTCTTCCATAGATGTTTTTCCCTGATACCTTGGAAAATTACATTTGAATAAATAAGCCAACACACCTTTTGTTTCTGTGAACAAATAATATTGTTACTGCAAAATTACATTTGAATAGATGTTTCATGGACTGTGATAATATTGCTATGTTTCTGTAAGAAAAAAAAAGAGGCCATGGTTCACGCTTTTTTGTTTCCATTTTTATGGGCGATTCCCTTTTCTGTTAGCTGCTTGGCTTTACTGCAGTTACCTCATTGCTTGGCATAATGCAGGTTTCCTCTCTGCATTGCAGGTAAACAGCTTAACCCCCAAACTTCTTGCGAGTCAGCTGAGCAGCACATTGCAAGGTATGTTGTGGAGATTAATTTGTTATCATTACTACTATATTGTTTGCCGCTTCCATCGTGTGCTCCTAAATTCATGTTGATGGCTCTGGGGTTCCTAATTCATGCCCCATGCTATATTATAGTAACTTAAAGTGGGTGTACACAGCTTATTCCATTCCTTCTGCTCTATCAGATATCAAAAACTATTAAAAATATATATTTTCCTGGGAAGTAGACTCTATGTATATATCCTCATGCCACCTTTACCTGCTAATTGGTTGTTTCAACTGACAAATATTTAGTGAGCACACATTTACAATTAATAATTGGATGTCCGGTTTACTCCCGGTCTTCCATCTTTTCATGTTCCCTCGATAATTTTGGGGTGTTACTTACTATTTTGCAAGCTGCGCTTTTGTGAAAAAGCACCGGTCATTCTTGTGGTACAAGTACGTTTCCATTTAGAAGCTTAGCCAACTTGGTTTTCAGGTAAGTCAGCTGCTCCACATGGAACCGCCTCAGCCTGTCTCTACTGAATCAGCTTTTTGACATACTTTTGGCTTGGCCTAAACATGGTGCATTCTTTACTCAGATTTACTAATGCTTTCATACTGTGTTCTCATTTGAAAGGCATGAGAGATGAAAAAGAGCTTTCTAGAGTGCTTGATCACAAATTAATTTGGATCTGCGCTATTCAATGTCGGTTTTCCCTAACTGTACTTCTCATTTCCCTATTGCTATGCAGGATATGATCTTGATAAGTGGAGCTACTTTCCTCTCTATAGATTTGCCTGAGCTCCAACGTCAAACTTGGTTACCTACCTGGTCTACTTTCGGTGCGCTATCTTCGAGGCTAAAAATAATGCTTACAAGGTACTACACCATTGCTGCCCTGTTCGCTTCCTTGATGAACTTATAATTCCAAATGCATTGCATTTGTACATTGACACCCTCAGTATCAGTTTCTCTATTGAATTTTTCATTATCTTTGAAGATCCCTGACGTGCCGTATTGCATAGGTTTTACAGATTTCTATTATTATCTGTTGTTGTCGATTTGAGTAATTTAGTATGTGCTACTTAGCAATCTCAGGTTCTCAGCAGTTTGAGAGGAACTATCTTTTCCTGACTGGAATTATGGTAGTTTTCCCAAGTTTAGATGGCAACCAAGAAAGTTCTCCTTATATTCTAAGCCAACGTATCCCTCAGTAAAATGCTTCTGACCCTACAGTTTCTCTTTAGTGCATCTACCATCTCTTTCATTCCAAGCGTTCAGTCTGATCAGCATTTCTTCTCTACTGATTTAGGCAGCTGCTTCCCCAGCAGCAGTAGCATAAGTGTGTCTGCTGAATGTTGCCGATTCTATCACCATGATCTTGGCATTGGGAAGCGAGCTGCCAAATAGTTGTTGTCGTTCAAAGAAGAAAGGTTGGGATAATACTTCTACTTTGAGCTGCATTGAATAAATTATTTCTGCACTCCACAGTCTACGAGTATATCTCTTAGGGATGGAGACATGGACAATGTGTCAGATACTGCTATCAGCACTTGGCCTTCTTACAAAATAACATTTCTTTCTCGGCCCGTCGTAGCTTGATAGGACCCCCTCGGGGAAATAGCTGGGATGACCAGCGGTGTTGGCGAGCCCTCGGTGTTGGCGATGTCCACTTGCCACCTTGGTTAATTTCAATCTGTTATATAATTCATGGTTGGTTGTGGCATGTGTTGTTTTCGTAGGTTTCCTTTCTCTACTATTATTTATGCATTTTACCTTTTTGCTTGTCCCACATTACTTTTCATGCTTTGTGCTAAGTGTATTGATTTATGAGCAATTTGTGAGAAAAATACATTGTTATAGTACTTGGGCGGCCTGTTGGAAAATGTTGCATGTAGAAACAATTTGGACTCATCTTGCATTTGTTGGTTGTTGGAAGGAATTTTTACGAAAGGAGGTTGCCTACATAGTTATTCATCATTATTCAGTTTCATGCAAGTTATCCACCAAGATAATTATAGTATGACAGCACCCTATGTAAGTAAATTGTATCCAATATGAAACTGAGCTATGTTGGAAGGTGTCTCTTCCACCAGGCACTCCTAAAATTAATTGTACTTCGTTTTTGTCATTCATCTTAATATCATCGTGATCATATAGATTACATATATTCATGTAGTTACCTGTCCCTTAGTATTTACTGCAAATTGGTCCTTGCTTATTGCGAGACTGCTTTTAGTTGTTAGAAACCATGTTTATGGCAGGTGGTTAAACACCAGCACCTGCATGTAGCAGTCCTATGCAAATAGTGGGGAAAGGAAGGTATTAGCAGCTCTATCATGCTCAGCCAATAATATGTTACCAAAAAAAAGTATTCTTTATGATCCTGAGGGGCGTTGTTTTCATTATATGCTAAATAAAATTCATGTGATTTTAGGTAGTTAGCTGTAATTTTGGATTACAGCTGTCTGGTCTTTTAATACGAGCAAAATGGATGTCATCAAAGTTACATATGGGACATGGATGAGACAATTATTTTGCTCAAGTCACTTCAGGGGCTTTTCATGGCCTCAACGATTGTGAGAAAATTAATGAAATAGGACAGCGATGGGAAAACCTTTGTTAACCTCTGCGATTACCACTTCTTTTAGGAGGTCAGTCAGTACTTCCATACATGCTACCTGTGTACTACATGAACAAATGGTATACCATTTTTCCTTCATTGTTCTGCTTAAGACATTTATCTGCTCGTTTTTTTTATATGTTGTTTCACTTTTTAAAGCTCGTCTCTTAATTTTATTCAACCGATGTTGCTATTTTTGCCATTCTAGGATATTATTTTATATTGCTCATAGCAGTTCTGTCCAGTTACCCAGCTCAATGCACTTCCACACCTGTTGAAGCACTTATGATGGCCAACATAAGCTTCAGTTCAGTGAGAACTTCCTGTAACAGGATGCTTGGACTATGGTGGTTTTTTGGGACAATAATCATATCTCTATATAAATGAAATAGATGAAATGATGAGCTCACCTATGTTACTTATACCAAAATTTAGTCAGATTTGAGTGAACTGTGATATTAATCCAATGACTGTCTGATGATCCAAGCAAGTTTGGTGATTCCAGTCTCCAGTTCAGGTGTGTACCTAGGCAGCTTGGTGTGTACCTAGGCAGCTTGGTACCTAGATGAGGCAGTACATTTTAGATAGAGTGCTATAGTTACTAGATGTACATTGTAGTTTTATTCATAGTTTCCTCTCAGTTTTCTACTTTAGCTTTTCACCTTGCAGCATGTAGCAGGCGCTCAAATGAGCTTTTATTTATGCTGCCCGTACCAAAATTGACTTTGAGCAAGCTTGGATTGATGATCTCAGTGCCCATCTGTGACTGACATTGTGGATAGCCTGAAGGCCTCTTCCAGCCCTTTGAAGACTGTAAACTAAAGGTTATTGTAGTCATGCACAAGATGTAGAATTTGTTCTAAGTCGAAAAAGAATGTAGCCATGCTCTAAGCAGCTTATGTATGTTCTGTTTTCTCTGATGTAACATGTGTTTATGTCAATCTATTATATATCATTGTAATGTGCCACCACCAAATATTATGTCTTCGAGTCACATCTATTCTTTGTCATATAAGATATGTTGGTACATATGTTTATTCTCGCATGTCTACCATTACTTCACCATGTCTACCATTACTTCACCACGGGCGCGCGAATGCGCGCGCAACGATGCTAGTTCTATATACACTGCAGTGTGGTGAATGTAAGTAACGGTGGTAATGGGAGCTGTGTAACTGATTGACTCAGGCTGTGTTTAGTTACTAAAAACTTTCCCAAAAAGTGCTACAGTAGGTATTACATCGAATCTTGCGATACGTGCATGGAGCATTAAATGTAGACGAAAAAAAAATATATAATTGCACAGTTTGGTTGAAAATCGTGAGACGAACGCTTTGAGTCTAATTAGTCCATGATTGAACACTAATTGCCAAATAAAAACAAAAAAGCTAACGTACCCAAATTCTCAAAATTCACGAACTAAACACAGCCTCAATGTGCAGGATTGTCCATCCAGCTCCAGGCGTCCCCGAGGCCCTGATACAGGAGATGTTCCGGCACAACCCAGGGGTGTCCAGGGAGGTCCTCGGCCTGTACATATGCCAGAAGCTGGTGAAAACGATGAGCGGCACGGTACAGTACCTACGAGAAGCCGACACTTCGTCGTTCATCATCCTGATAGAGTTCCCAGTCGCCCAGCTCAGCAGCAAGCGGTCCAAGCCTTCGACAAGTAAATTCTGACAGTCATGCTCCTGGAACTGCAGTGAGAATTCGGCCATGTCAAATTCTCGGGTGTAGCTGGCCAAGTAACTGTGCTAGTCTGAAACATCGGTTGGTCGGTTCTGGTATCTAGCATGGTCTGTGTAACGCGGGTAGATTTGGTTGTTTGGCTTTGGAGAGATATAAGCTAGCTGGCTAGGGGTAGCGTAACTTCGACCGATAACTCTATGTGAATGATGAGCAGTGAGGATGAATAAAAGCTTCACTTGTGTTCTCTATTGCTCTTCTGAAAGAGCCTTCATTTGCAGTGTGCATAGGAGTAACATTCACATACCCTGTTTATAACCATTGTGGATTCCTGAAATTTTTACTGTATACCCGGCAAATTCCTCTGAAATTTCAGTGTATCTTCGGGACCTTTTTGCGGTTCCTAGAAATTTGACAGTTTCCTGTGATCCATCCGCCCAACCTTTGGCCGGAGAAAAGCCGCAGTGGCCCAACTGGCATCGTGATCGACTCACCGTCAGCCCATCACAACTCTTTAAGCCTTTGACCAACTAGTAGGATTGCCCGTGCAAATAACACGAATGCTAACTTTTTCAGTGTGACATTCATGTTTTTTACTTGAAAACATTTTCTATTTTTTACGTAATTGTTTTCTCTCCATGTGTCCTCGCTGCAGCAATCGGCACTATCTTCTTATAGCAATTGTTGACCAATTTCTTGGCTTAAATCTCCATCTCATTCATTTTTCCACTCTTAGCCCGTGGATGTGCAATTTTTGCTGACACGAAATCAACCTAATATTTAGTTTCTCTAGTGAGTTCTATTTTTTTATAAGTATTTGTTCCATGACCTTTTATAAATTTAGATTTCTAGACCATCTTGAACTTTTTCTTGAGGATCCACAGTTTCCTTTTTGTCTAAAGCATTTTTGAACTCATCATAATGCTATACGCATGCCTGCCAGAGTTATTGTTGGTTGGTCTTGTCATTGCGCCACCATCCATCAGCACCTCAAGCTTTTGCAAAATAAATTGTGGAATCATCACTATGAGTTGCTGATCTCCCAATACCACACTCTACACACCACAATCGGCCATGTTGTGACCATATTTTTTTTGTTGACTTGTAACCATATTTGATTTAATTGAGATAAGGTTGATCCCATCAATTAAATTCAACAAAGATACAAGCTTTATAGGTGGCCGTGCAACAAGCTATACCTTCTATTACAGCGTACGGACAAATTTACTAATATATATAACAAAAATAAGTAGGAACTCCCGTCCTTTCCAGTAAAAAAGAGAGCACATATACCGATATACGCAACCGTGCAAAGTGGGAGAAAACTTCCAGCAAACATTTGTTTTTTACATATGTCCAGGTTTGATTCTGAAGTTGCTTTGGAAGGGAAGTGGAATAGAATTTCTCGTGTTATCTGCTTTGCATCTTGCCATCTGTACAAGATTACAGTGTTACATATGGACAACAGATGCTAACAATATCAACCAAAGCCATTCAAGAAGCAAAATCAAATGCGCATCCATACATCAGTCATTGGTTGGTTTGTGTCATAGTGATGAGGTTGTACGTCTATAGTGTTCCGGATTGTCAAGATTGATCCTCTCAAATTCCTCAATGAGGAAAGATATCTCCTCCTGGTTGATCTTACCCATCTCTTTCAGCTTGTAGAGTACAAATTCAGCAGCACTGTACGCAGATCAAGATTCAGACATCAGCATCAGTGATACCTAGCATTTCTGAAAACTTAGACTGATGGAAGACGGGTGCTGAAAATGAGTTATGCACTTACCCAACTTGTCGATCACCATCCAGATCAGCTTGCTCAAGATCCATGGTTGTCATCCTCCTGGTGAGCACCCATTTGATCAGCATTTTCTGCCGTCTCTCAATGTAGTACTCCCCAAGGTACTGGAAAAACTGAGCCGTGATGACAGTGCTCGTGATTATCCAACATATGGCAAAAACACGGCCGAACTTGGACGGGAAGGTTTTATCCCCATAAAAGACACAGTAGAAGGAATCAACGAGGCTCATTTTTTCAACCTTCCACAGGAACACAGTCCCAGCAATGACATCCATCACAAGAAGTAGAGCAACCGTGCAGAACTTGTATTTTATCTTGTTGGTATCGACAGCGCTGAGCATTTTGGCTTCACCTTGCGGTGCTTTGAAGAACACCTCCTGCTTCTCCACAAGGTAGTCTGCCAATTTGCTGATGAAGATACCAACAATCGCCATGCCGGTGAAGACGAAAGCACAAGCAAGCAGCTTTGTTGTGTCGCTGTTGGGGACGAGATCCCCACAGCCAACCGAGGTCATTGTGACGATAACTAAGTACAAGGCGTCGAGCACTCTGTTAGTTCTCATTCCAGACATCTGATCCATGACAAGGTAGAAAATGATGACACCCGCTAGAAGGTAGACAAAGAGGATGAGGCCTACAAGCCTGAAGTTTGGCCCTTTCTTCTGTGGTTTTTTTATCAGAGGACCAGCAGGTTCTGTGGGTTTTTTATCAGAGGACAGACGTAACCTGCGTCGTTGAAACTGTATGGCTCCTTCTGATGTCTGGCTTGCCAGCACATTAGGAGGATCAGACAGTAATGCTTCCTTAATACTGTTGTCAGTCATCAGCTTAGCGTTTATCTGCTGCAGTTACCTTCAGAGACCAAATTAAAGATTCAGAGACATGCTACGCTAGTACGAACATATAACAAAGTTGCACGGATCGCCAAGATCAAGATGACAAAGCCATTCTGAAATAGAGATGACGTCACGAATCCAAACTGAATATATAGCTACCAGCCGTGCTGTTGTCCTCTATAGATCGAGGTATGGACGTACGGTGAGGCAAAACAAAATGGGCTGTGTGAAGGCCAATTCGATTCATAGGCAAGAGCAGGCAGCCTGTCCAAAGTTTTACTACTGGACCTTTGAGCGTCCCCTTATCTCTCTAACTGACTGCCTGTCTCTTCCTTCTCGGTGAAATTCCCCTGCCAATCTATATCCATTAGATAGGTTGCTGCGAATCAAGTTTAAAAAAAAATCCATTGGAGCGAGCAGGAAAGTTTGAGTGGGACGGAGTTCAGCTACTCGATCGAGCAAGGATGGAGATGGTCAAGAGCGATACAAGACGGGAACCGAACAGCGATAGGAGGGGAAGCATTTCGGTCTACGGATATCGATATACCGAGAAAGTACTCCGGCGTGCTTAGAAAGGAGGTTGATTAGTTGTCAATCAATCAAACAAGAATGAAAAGATATTGAGAGACTGGAGGCGTTCAGTGATCTTCGTTACCTTGGGCCTTTGGCTGACTCGGGAACGTCGGATCAATCGAAGCTGGATTGGCTGAGTCGAGAGCGTCGGTTCTTGCTCTCCCAGGTCGGCTGTTTCTGTCCCCTCTAGCTCTAATAATCACTCGCGTTGTCACCTTTTCTTAATTAACTTATGAGTGTGGAGGAGAAGATAACCGCTGTCCGCTGACGTGCGCTGCTATTTGTTATAGTATAAGTAAATAAAAGAGTAGAATACAAAGGATCCGGTATCTAGGTGTTTGCCTTGTGCGTTCGTTGGCCTCTCGCCACTGACGCCAAGCACTCTGTTGTTGTTTAAATCTCCATTCCCTCTTGATGAAAAACGGGTACATCAATATCACACACAGCTACATGAACGCGAGGTGGGGGTGCAACTGTCCAACAGCTTTAAAACTACTCCGTATAAAATACTGTTCCGACTGATTCGGGAGAGAAAAATACCATTCCGACTAAAAAACAAGCTGAAAAGTAAGACAAGCGAACAGGCCCATAGTACTGATATATGTCGACAAAGGACGTCTCTAATAAACTCAGGATTAATCCTCTTTCAATTACATCAGCATTCAGCGCAGTTTAATCTCTCTCAGTCTCTCTCTCTCTCTACAAAGTTATCAATTGTGGTTCTCGGAAAAAAAGAAGTGCAAATGTACAATCTATACACAGGAAAATATTGCAAACCCTCTCTTCGATGGAATCGTGAAAACCCTTTAGAAAAACATACTTAGAAGTCTTAAAAAAAATGTAAACTATGCACATCTATAGTGCATCTATAGATATACATGTAGCAAAATTTAAGCGGAACAACTAGCGCTTGGGCGTCTGGCGCTAGGACGTGTCTGAATGCTCGCGCCCGCCCCGTCTTTTCTGAAAAAAGCCTGCCCCTCATGCAACTCTGCACGTGCACATCTCGCATGCAACTACTGCGCCTGCAAACCCGCCCCTGCACGCTAGTGCGCCTACGCATGCAGTTGTGCGCCTTGTGCCTGCTGATGCCCACCTCGTGCCTGCTAATGCCCGCCTCGTGCCTGCTGATGCACATGCAGGTGGGGACCGCTACGCCTGCAGGGACTACATCTACATGCGCCCGCTTCCTACGCCTTCTAATGTTGCAACATGAAAGCACTTCTGCAACATACGTCTGAAACAGAAGAAACATTTGCAAATATACGTTTGAAACATATGTGTATAGCAACTATAACATCCGGATAAACACATTTACAACATATGTCAGATGAAACATTTTGAATAGATGCGCTTGTAACATATGTCCGAAACATAGGCAACATTGCAACATCCAGATGAAACACTTGTAACATAGGTCTGAAATAGGTGAAACATTTATAACATATACTTGTAACATACATGTATAACCACTACAACATGTGCAATATCTATATAAAACACTTGCAACATACGTTTAAAACAGTTGAAACATTTGGAACATACACTTGCAACACACGTGTATAGCCTTTGCAATATATGCAACATCATATCTACTTTTGCAACATTCAGATGAAACATATGCAACATACATCTGAAACGCATGAAACATACGCGAAGAAATCGACTGTTTACGGACTGTGAAGCCCATGGGTCGCGATTGATTTTATGTTGACAAGTACAATGCACGCAGATGTACGTAAGATCATCAGCTAGGTGAGTATTACCAGTATAAAGCGTTGAGCCGATGAATCTAACGAGAAAGGATATAGCATTCAAACAAATCGACTTGTCTAGTACGAATGGACCTACAAATGCTCTGAATCTAATATGTTACCATCAACAGTGAGGTTCGACCGGATCGATGGCAGCTATGATGATAATAACAAAGTAAAACCGAAGAGTCCATAAAACCATCTATACATTGACAGGCTTTCCGAAAGACATGCTATATGTGTGAAAACTCGAGCGAATTGGTTGAAATAGCCGATTCAGGTGAAAAGGGACTACATCGTGTGAACAATCGACTATTTAACATAGACAAACCAATGAACTCATCAGACTTAACCTGCTATCTCTAACAGTGGGGTTCGACCGGATCGATGGTAGCCGTGATAAAGACAACAAATCAAATCTTTAAAGTACATAGATCTATTCACATTTAACAGAATCATGGAGACACACTGTAGGCGTTAAAGCATAGGCGATCGGCTATTTAGCTGATGCAGGCATAGCAAAAAGTTAAGGTCACGCCTGATCGAGAACAAATCTACCAACTAGCATCCTCCGATCTAAAGTGCCATTAGTGGGGATCGATCGGATCGTTACAGCCATAATAGCGAACTATAAACCAGATTTAACTAGCCAGCAAACCTATTCAAGGTCATACGTGCCTTAACCGCGTACTATGCATGATCAAGATCGAGGTAGAACAGCCGATAAAACGTAACCCATCGCTCAAAGTAAGAGATATCGTATTGTAACAAAGCAAACGATGGACTAAAAGGATGTGAGGCCGATCTACATCGATCTCGATCGGGTAGATTGATGTTGCTGAAAACTAATGCCAATAAGAGCATCAGCAAGATCGGTAACTTAATGAATCTACCCGAAGGATGCCACCCTTAGGTAGAGCCGATAACTTGACCTTAATCTAATTCGAGCAGTGGAGGTCAGCCAGACCAATGCAGCCATACTTGAACTAGATAAGAGTCGATAACTAGCTTATACTAGAGCTCGTAGTGGAGTCGAACTTAACCGATGCAGCCATACAAACAGAAGTATAAGCCATGACGGTACTTACAGACAAGCCGGAGGTCGGTCGGACCGATGCAGCCCTGCTTGTTGAAGAACTCGTCGAGATCTACTCTACTCCTACTCCTAAGGGTTGGCACGGAGCCAAAAAAGTAATTTGTATTGATTGATTGGGTATCTTTTACAATAGCCGGGGTCCAATATTTATATCCGGAACCTAAGCATGACTCATTACAATCTTTGGCATAAGATAAAATATTTCTAATTTAAGATAATTTAGACCCTAATTGTTCCCTTTTTGTAGAGTCTGATATGTATTTTCCGACGCCAACAGTAGCTCTTTGTCGTTATATGCTGATGTCATTCGAAGAGAGCCGATTCCACTATCGCATCTGAATCAGTTGATATCGATCCTCATGCAATCGATTCCTTGATTGACACAATCTTGGAAGCTTCGAGTTTCCGCGTTCTTCTTTCCAAATTTTGGTGTAAACACATGCCCCCCAATTTTGGGATAAAAATAATTTTATTCCAAAATTTCTATTTACCTGTTTACCACGTCATAACCGTTTTATTCCGAGATATACGCGTGACTCCTGACTTTCCAGTCCAAGTCTTATATAATATCCTAACAATATCTTTTACAACTTACTCGGCCCATTCGCTTTCCCCTTCTTTCTCGAGCAAATCTTAACAGCCGACGCCGCCATCGCCAAAGCCTCAACCCTAGCAAATCCTCTGCCCTATCAAGCTTCTATTCAAGCGATCTTCCTCAGATTCAAATCTATTTCAGCTGCAATGGTGACCAGCGACCACGTCCCTGAGGTATGCTTCCAAGTTCCCGCTTTCCAAGTACCAGCCGCTACCCTTCATTTCATTTCTTCTCAAATTTATTTAATCTGATTTCTAGGAAATGAGGAACGACATCCTGATTCCATCGGCTATTGCTCCCAATGTCTATTTTCTCGGGCCTATGGGTGATCCAGATCCATCTGATTTTATCCGTCAAGAAACCAACTAAATCCCCTTTAAATAATCTGTAGTGGATTCGTCCTCTGGAACACCAAAAGTCCCTTTAGAATCTGGCCCAAAATGCCTAGGGATGGAGAGACTGGTTTCGTAGGGTATCCAATAAAAAAGACTGGAGATTGGGAGGTTTATGACTTGAATCAATGCTTGGCACTCTCGTTGTCTGAGATGGAGCGAAACGATTCACTCCTGATTTCTGCATCTTATTTCTGGTCTAACACCCTAAATGCTTTTGTCTTTGGTCACAGCCCAATGACCATCACTTTGGCCAATGTTTATATGTTGATCGGCCTTAAAATAATAGGAACAATGTAACCTTATGACTTTTTAAGTGCCGGATCTAAGAAATTAGCCAAAATATCAAACTGCACAGGATGACAAGCTATATTCTGAACCATGTTGGACTTGGGTCAACTGTTAGCGAAAGAGAATATGTAGCCTTCCTGAACATATGGTTAGAAAGATTCATCTTTTGTGGGTCATCTTGTGGTCTGACTTACAATCATAAACTCATGACAGAGCATCTGGCAGTAGGCGCTGAAATTTCTCTTGGCAAATATCTGTTGGGATCAGCTTACCATTTGATGCATCAG